AATAATCTAATAGGAAACCAATCGATAACATTAAAACGTAATTCCAAGTTTAATTGAGAACAGAAAACCTTAAAAGAGAATAATGAGCTTCCAATCTAATAGACAAAGAGAATACCTTAAAACTACGCCTACAAGTTATTTATTTCTTTGATGAAAATTTCTTTATTAATTAATATGTAAACAGTTAACAAATATTACAATGATTCGGCTAACATTAATTATGCTTTATTTTATCATTTTTAGAGTCCGAATCAGGCTCGGCCTCAGCATCGAGATCGGGAGGCTCAGATGGTTCAGGATCTGGTTCAGTTGCTGGCATCGAAGGAGATCCGAACTTGCCCTACCCCGGAATAGCACCAATTGCTCTAGGCTATCTCTCTCAAACCACTAGACCTAGAAGTTGGTGTTTGGCTCTTATCTCTAATCCATATCCTTTTTCTGGCTTTACACATTGTATTTTCGAGTATTTGTTTGATAATTTAAAATAAATTATTCAGCTAATTATTCCTCGTCCTGCTCTTGGCTCTGCTTTCTGGTTGAAACTCTCTGCAAACTGCGTTGCCTCAAATAATCTGGCTTTCTTCTATGCTATTGATAGGCAAGTCGAAATTTAAAATAGAAACAAGCAAGCAAAGGAAGCATGAGCAAAGGCGCAGAAAGTAAATTCTACAATCCGCTTGTAATCACTTTTAAACCTTCATTTAAACAAAAATGCAAGGTGATTGATCACAAAATACACGTGTTTTCTTATATATTTGTCTCGACACTTTCATTTTAAATTCAATACTCTCAGGAAAAAATAGAATGCACTTCTCGATCATAAATTTGATTTTCCCAAGAATCAGTCTGTACAGGGAACCATCTTTTTTGAAATTTACTGGTAGCAATGGGCGAAGAAATTAAAGCCAAAGCGACGCGACAGGATTGAGGATCAGATACATCGTAAATCAGGTAAGCTTATATTTTTTATGATGCTTTTGCGAAATGATACAATTTAATATTTTCCAAGGTAAATAATGCCTCCCTTCTAGCGGAGGCAAATCCATAGCACTGATTTAATAACGCCTCGCTTCTCTCAAGAATATTAATAGAATATAAATTCCATCTAAAGTTTTATGTACTTTTTGCGACAATCTCGCTTCGTGACTCTGTACGAATAAATGGCACGGATAAAGGTTATACTTCTTGGAATGTGATGAAAATTGGATTTTTGGTAGGGTATGGAAAATATTCCCGTTCGACAGGTTCAGCAACTCTAAGTCATATATATTTAAGCCTTTCTTAGAGACTGGATCTTTTAAAACAAGTTAATTCTTAATCAATTGTCGTTCGCATAGTCATGTAATATTAGATACGCTGGCTTGTTGAATGAAAACATCAGTGTTTGAACAGGCGCCATATTTTAGGAATTTTTCCTAACATTTTTTCAAAGAAACTCTTTCAAAAAAACCGTTAATACAGCACTTCTTTTATTTGTTTGTTTTACAGACATTTTCGAATGTATTTGCATGATACTGCAAACTATCGAAAATTTAGACCAAGCTGACCGTCTCATCAATATGTTAAACTATACATATCCTGGAAAGTTCATTTTCAGAAGTTTTCAAACTTACATATGCCGTTCAATGCACAACACACGCACACAGCAGACAGTTTCACAATTGTAAGTTTTACGGTATCAATTGTAAACGATGGTCTCCTTTAATTTGAAAAACTTTTTGTTTCCAAACATTTACAAGTGTCCCTGAAAACACTATATTTTGGTCAAATTTGTTACAGTTTAGCAGACAGATCAACGACATTTACATCAAGCTATATTTTCAGTTTCAAAACGGCCATTGTCTTGACCATATCTTACACTAGTTGAGCATGGTGCGTTCCTTTCTAAACGTTTACAACTGTGTTTGTCAAGACAGAAATAACACCTGATATTTCGAACTGATGTAATAAAAAAAATGGCTCAAAACTTTCTTATTTTTTAACCAATTTAACACTCTGTGTGCACGCAGCGAAGTCATTAACGGTTCTTCATAAAAACTTTTGGCTTAAAATAAAGCCAACAGCCACTTCCGGGAGATTGTTTAAGTACTTGTAAATCACCCTGTAAGCGATTATATTTAATAATCGAAACCAACTTTTATAACTTTGCTTGCGTACTATTTTTCCTATTTTAGAGCAGCTTAGAAAAACGCATCTTAGCAATGGTTTTTTATGAGTTTAGAGATTTTATTCGGAAAATTTGAGTATGATTGTGGCTGAAAAGAATAAAAGTCTTAAGAACGATAATATAACTAATATATAGCTGTGGAAGATTCGCTCTTCTGAGTGAATTTTAAAAATTATTTTTACATGCTAATTTGCAAAATTTTGCTACGCCATATCATTCAGTTGGTTATTTTTTGTATGGTAATCAGGTGAAATAATTACAAAATTAAACTACTTCTAGCGGTCACGTTTATGCATAATGCTAACACATCAACTGGTAAATTAATTAATAATTACTAATAATTTCTGCTTTATTAATACTTTAATCAGCAGTTCTTCAATATGACAAATTTCATTTACTTAGAAATGCTAACTCGATAGAGAACCATATGAAATTAATTATTTGTATAATTCCTGCTATAATACACACATAGCATATTGCATAAGTTAACAAAGTTTTCTTTTATTGCGGAAGCCATTTTAAACTGAAAATGATTTTTCACGTTCTTTCTTAAAATCCTCATCAACATCTCAGCAATTATACCAATTCTGCTAATTTTATTTACTATAAATACTAATACTACTATAATATAATAATGCTATTTAGAGGTACTAATTGTACTCAACTCAACTTGTATGTTCAAACTGTGAAGTCGGCTTGTCAGATATTTTTATTATTCCAGAATTTCATACCGCACTGAATATTTAAATATATAATAATTTGAAATAATGATAATGCTTTTATTAAATAATGGTAATCATAATTAACTTTACCAATAAATCAAGTAATAATAATTATGCATTAAATACGAACGTTTTAGATTTTATAAATCTAAAGTTTACATAGTTATAGTAAATTACCATATCAAATATTTTTATACTTAATTTGATTATTTATGTCACAGACGGTAGTACATTTATACAGTACAGTATAATTATTAATTAATAAAAATAATTAAAGACATTTCAAAACTTTATTAACAACGTTTGCAACAAAATTAAAAAACCTGTTAAAAAATTGGTCTTTTCCATATTTTCCTTTCACTTATGTTTTGATGTTTCATGAAAAACAAACATTGTATGAAAACGTTATTAATTATACATCTAGCTTATTTATATTGTTGTTATGCACTTTTAGCATGATTATTTATTGATATTAATGACTTATTTGAGAAATTTGAATAATTTTGGCCTATCGTAGTTAATTTTACCCAAACCTTCATCGATCATCGCACAATATTTCGTTTACCTGTTAATTCCAGATATTCTCGTCTATCTGCTAACTCCTGTATTTTGAGACTATTGAAACCCTGTTTCGAAACGAATTTTTCGAATTTAAGGTTCTGTATAGGCCGGTATCGAATGAGATTGGGGTTTCGGAAACTCACGATTAGATTTTCCATTTTCCCATTCATATTTCAACAATTAATTAAATATTGCCGTTTTAGGCGGCTGATAAAGGGTTAGCGAGGGTATTTAAGTTATTTGCTAGGGCTTTTGAGTTATGTTTGGGGTTTAAGTTATTCCATCACCTTGAATAATCTGCAATTATTAACCCATAAATCTTATAGTAAAAATCAGTAAGTACTATTTGAATCCTCGAGGTAATTGGGGCTGATAGAATATTTTGAATGACAACGTAAACGCAATGGAAATAAAAACCTCCAAGAGAGAAAAAGCGAATATGGATAGAGATATTAAAACCCGTTAATGATAGGAAGTGGGAAATAGGGGATACAGTGAAGCAAATTAGTGATTTTGGGCTGCAAAGCATTCGATATGCATTTGTGTATCTAATTTATTTGACAAGAAAACCACGCGTTTAGAACATTTTTTGCATGATGATAATCAATTTCATTTTTGTAAATTATCCTTTTTGTGGCAAATTGAAAAACTTATTCATTATGAATTGAACAAAACTTTATTAATTAACTTTCAGCTAGTTGCTATAAATAACATGCCTTGACTAAATTAGTCTTGTCGGACCGAATCAACATGTGAATTAAATAAAATAATTGTTTGCATTTTTTTTTAAGCTATTTGTTGAATTTAAAAATATTATTTCATTATTGTTAAGTAGATGAGAAACCATGTTTTTATAAATGAAATGTCGAATAACCTTGGTAATGTTGTGTCAATTCCGAACTAATGTTGCAAAACGAAAGCGCTTCTTATACCGGTCTGAAGATGGAAAATATGTATTGGCGAAAAATCAAAATATTTTACAGTTATCATTGCATCAGCATGCATGATCAGCATCCCGTTGCTGATGCGGATCTTTTTGTAGGTGTAATTAAACATCATTAAATTTTTTAAATGCCATTAGTAAGAGTAGTCATTCCATTGAGTTCTACACACATATTTCCACTACGAAAATTTCTGTAATACTAAACTTCTGCTTATTTTTCTTTGTAGTGCATAATTGTCTGCTTTTGGGGGTGTGATATAAGCCTTTTTATTTAGGAATGGTTGAAATTCTATTGACTATACAATTCAAGTGAGACACTAGTAGCTTAGTCGATATTTCTGTTAGAACAAATGCAAAATACGAAAAATTTAAACTGTAACCACCCCAACTGCTTGTCGATAAAAGACGCGTTTATACTTTATCCGTCTCAATCTTATACACCTTTAGTCGTTATAAAACATTGCCACTATTGCTTCAATTAAAAATTAAATAATAAAATCACATATTACATAGGTGGAATCCATAAACGCAAACATATTTTAAACAAAGGACATCCTCGGATATAAAATCTTCTCCAATTGGTCCAATAAAGCTCGTTGCAGTGTACTATTTCTTGGACCACATAGTTCAAACAAAAAGCCTTGTATTTTCGCAACGCTTTAGAAGACTATATAACTTTCCGGTTTTAGATAAACGGTCCAAACAATTTATCGAAAGACCAATATTACCTGCAGGACAATAGATGTGACTATAATGTTACCGGTTACCAAGTATTTGCGGAACTTTCAGAAATTTATCGATATTATCAAGCCACAACATACAAAGTATTTCGTAATTAACTTTCAATATTTTAGGGAATATGAAAAGGAAAGATAATTTTAACACAAGCTTTTCAGTAGTGTTTGTCTATTTAAACCTTTTCCGCGCAAAAAATAAAATCTTAAACTGGTGGAAAATGACGAGAAAAATGAACACATCTTTAATAATGAAGAGAACTTTCAATAGACTTAGTATACCTAATATTTCGACGAATAAAAAGTTCTAATACAACTTTGCCCTAAAGTGACCGTTTTCATAATACAGATGGTCAAATTGTGATAATTCAAGA